CTTAAATTATTTAAAAAGAAGGCTGCCATTTTTTTGTCGTGTGTTGTTAGTTATCTCGAAAATAAATAACAGTTTAATAACAACAAATTTTCCTTTAACTTACAACTCTTTTTCCACAATTTACTGACATTGTAAAAGAGTTTTGAATACGAGACATTAAATTAGATACTGTTTCTAGGGAATTCTTAGTCTTTCAGAGTTATTGCTTAGTTGAAAAAAGTAATTTAAGCCATGAGGAAATATGGATGAAGTTTTAAAATAGTGGTACTTTTCCACAGTTTGAAAAAATATATAATATAGTTTTTTTTCAATACCACACTCAAACGAAGCAACTCTGAGAGGATCTACAGTGAAACCCACTTAAGTACCCCCGCTTAAGTACCTAACCCGGTTAAGTAACCAATATTTTTGGACACCGTGAATTTTTTAATATAATCTGAAGGAAATCCCTCTCTTAAGTAAGTTTTACGTCGTAATTATGATTTATGATTTATTTAAGGAGCGTTCACTGGGAGCAAGTGTCACAGAAAGTTTTGCGCCTATCTGCACGAATCCGTCTGGGAATATTGTTGGACAATGATCCGTAGGTACATTGGAAAAATGCATGTTAAGAAACATTATAAACCGTATAAACGTATAGTTGTGTAAACTTAAATCAATTGTATGGAAATTCGTTTATACATTTCTGCTACAGTTCTCCAACAATTTTTACTCAATAATCTTGATAAACTAGAGCCATAGCAAGTGTATACGAAAGGAGAGTATAATGTAACCGATCTCTTAAATTTATAAGAATATTTGCTGTATAAAGTTACCGGTTTAGTTGAATACCGCTAACAGTAATTTAAATATTAGCAACGCATTGAAGTGTAGAAAATTACTTTTGACACATTGTAAAGCATGTTAATCGAAATTTCAAATTACGATTGGTCGAAGGCGGAAATTTAACAGTACCAACGGATTTTGAAGGAGTTCACAGTTCTCATTATGGCTTAGTTTACCGCGAGAAAAATTGTACACATCATTAAGTGCAAGAAAGTGAATATGTAAATTAAGTCGCAGTGCATGTAAAACTTCTTTTTTCGGAACGCAAAGGGTTGTGAAATTACCGGCATCTGGAAAACAATGGATTAAGCTTAGAGGAAGACCACTTTTGGGTCTTAACCAAACTACGTCTAACTGTTAGTATTCATACATGGTAGTAAAATTCCAATCCAAATCCTTTGTGTGTACTTTATCTCAACTCAAATTTTCTAATTTCTAAAGATTATTCAACTGGTTTATCTTATTTTGGCATGGCACTTTGTTTTAGAAATGTGGTTCTTATTTTATTGCTAAATGGGAAGGATTAAAAATGATGGCACTTTTTTACCCTCAATATGGCACCTCATAGCTAAGGATAGTTGGCAGCCCTGCTACCCTATCGGAAACACCAATAACGAAAATGAGAAAGTTATAATACCCTTGTGAACAAGTGCGCTCGGGTATAAAAAGATTCCAAAGTAGTGTATCCCAGATTCACGCAGCATACACCCAGAAAAAGGTTTAGTTAT